CCCGCAGGGCCATGGGCCAGTGAGGAGCATCTCGTCTCATAGTGGGGTTGGCCATGTGGTCCAGACACTACTTTTCTGACAGCTGGGCACTCTCCAATTTCTTCACCACACTTTGCTGTAGCACTTCTGTGTTTCCTCCATGAGGGCAAGTATCGAGTAGGTTCCATGTCAAAAGAACTAATTGTTCTTAGATTGGAGTTAGGACTAATTTCAATTCCCAAATCTTTCCTGTATCTCTGTTTTCAATCTGCCTGTTTTACCTTAGGGGCACCTTTGTTATTTTATGTTAGAGAACCTTATATATTATCTCCATGGAGCATAAGGTGTCTCTTGTTTTATGATGTTATTGATTTAGCCCATGGTAATGTATCCAGAAAACACAATTGAGAAAAGATTAAACAAGTCTAGGCTAACCACAAATCTAAAGTACTGATTATGAAGCCATTGACACTTATATTAGGGTAATAAAACTCTACACTATATTTCTTAATAATGACCATAACTAGTATGTATGAGGTTATAGAAACCTTCTCAAATAAGAAGTCCAGAAGAAAGGGACACCACTGAAGCTAAAGGGGCAATGATTAGTGGACACTTCTACGATATACCTTACTTTATTACTGAGATGTTAGGGTGTGTTGTCATGTTTCTCTAAGAAGTGAACAGTTAACAGACACATCACACTATTTACAGTGCTATTAACAAAGATGTTTTCCATGGGATCAAGAAAAAGGAGAGTGGGAACTGATCACAATGACTGACATGCAACACCTGCCTTGCCCCCACCAAGGGGGACGAATAACAAAATGTGGATGAAGGGAGACAGCAGATGGTCTAAGATAGGAAAATAATAATCTATAATTTATCAAGGGTTCGCGGTGGAGGGAGGGAAAAGAGCTGATACCAAAGGCTCAAGTAGAAAGAAAATGTTTTGAAAAATGATATGGCAACATATGTACAAATGTGCATGATATGTCTAATGTATGGAATGTTATAAGAGCTACAAGAGCCCCCAATAAAATGATTGATTAAAAAGAGGAGGGGAGAGCAAATAAAAATGTAAAGAGTGTTTATGCAGCAGACTCAAAGGAGACGGTGTTACTGTTTCAGAGTATGGAGAGAGGCATGACTAACTTGGTGGAAAGTATTCAGAAAGAGTATCTTAGTCCCTTTAGTCTAAATCTATTCACTAAGAATATCATTATACAATTCACATAATTTGGTTTTAATGAATTGGAAGGTAATGCCTACAGGGATAGTGATTAGGGTTTTTTAGATTGATTGACATGTTGCAAGGTTAAGAGCAGTGGTGTTATTTGATTAGCTTTGTTTAGTTTCTGAAACTCAAGCTGAAATCCAAATTGTCAGGCAAACTTACTTCATTAAAGTACTACCTCCTAAAAGGTCTTCAGGGCTAGCTAGTTAGAAAACCCTTCTTGAACAGTGGGGTTTTACTAAGAGTTATGTTTTGGTCATGAATTCTCTTTAATTAAAATCGGTGGTCATGAATTCTCTTTAAATCAGTGGTTTATGTTCTGTTATTTACTCTTGTTCTGAAACAAGCAAGAAACTCAGTCATAACTTGTCAATCTTGTTCAGTTCCAGAGACCAGGTTATTATGTGAAAACTGGATTTATGTGAAAATGGAGGCCCCCTTTTTTCTGCCCCCATTTTTTTCCTGATTATGTTAGTTAGAAATTTTGATGAAAAAAATATTAAGAGCTAGGATTTACTGCTAGGAGTCCTGGTGGCATAGTGGGTTACAGGTTGGGCTGCTAATTGCAAGGTCAGCAGTTTGAACACACCAGCCCACAGCAGGAGAAAGATGAGGCTGCTTTCTACTCTTGTAAAAAGGGACCATCTTAGAAATCCCAAGGCAGTTCTACACTTTCCTGCAGGGTCACTAGGAATTGGAATCAAGTTGATTTCAGTGAGTGCTGCACTGGCCACTGTGTCCTATAGGGTCACGTACGTTGGAATGACTCAATGGCAGGTTTACTGATGTGCCGGCCACTGTGACGAGTGCAATACGGATTATTTCTCTGCAGAGGCTTGGAGGAGACAAAGCTGACTCAAGCTGGGCTAAGTACCCAGAAGGCCCAAGCTTACCCACTTGACATTCCTGGCTGGGTTAGAGCTTCTCTCATGGAGCTGAGTGCAGGCTTCCTCTCACTCCTTTTAGTCCCAATCTCAGAGCCTGCTCTACCCTCTAGGCTTGGTGTGTCACTAATGTTGGGGACATCTTACAAGGGCACTAGGAGCCTGGCCTCATCAAGGTAGAGATTCCAAACTCAGTTAAGCTAACTGGGATTATCGTGAAATTCTCATACATTTCTTTTCAAATACTCTCTCCAATGCCTCTTTCTTTTCCATTTCTACCTCACAATTTTGGGGTGCAGGACCACAGACTGCATAGAAGCTGGGGATCCAGAGCAGGCACCTGCTGACTGAAAGTTGCCTGTGCGTGTATCCAGAGGTCATGCCCACAGAGGTGCAGCCCAGCTTTCCAAAGATTGTCCCAAGACCCATCCCCACTCCGTCATTGCCACTCACCACCTCGTTAATGTGCAAAATGGGACAAATCTTTCTATTACTGCTATGAATGTAAAACGTCAGATACCGAGAGAGTTGCTAAATGAGGAGGAAGTGTACTATGTACTTGAATAAAGATTCGATACAACTTTAGATGATACAACTCTTCCTAATGTGACTACACTATTGGATTGTGTGATATGTGGATGAAGTCTAAAAACCATTGGGGGGGGGGTTTCTGTACAACTTCAAATGAACTTCCTCATATGATAATGGTGAAAATAAGGTTTTCAGTGAAGAACGGTGACTGAGAACAACTGAACCCTGTCCTCAGAACCAATGTTTCAGGAGTCATTAGGTCCCTAGGAGCCTAAGAAATATGGCCTTTCTTCCCATACTTGTTTATTCCATTTTCCCATACAATTTTTGGAGCCACCTCACAGATACAAGTTTGTAAATATTTTGAGAAGGCTGTTCATGGTTCTCTAAAAGACTGTCACTTACTTTTAAATACTTTCTCCATGGATGGTTCCATTGCCGCCTCTTTGAGCTCTTGGCCAGTTTTTCCACGCCGAATTCCAATTCTTGACTTGGTGGCATATTCCTGATATATGTGCAAAGATACATACCATCCATGTCAAAAACAATGTTGAGAATAAAATGGAACTGTGGATTTCTTTACACTAGAAAACTATGAATCACTAATTCATTTTATGCTTAACTTTTAGATTATTTCATAACCTGATTTTACTTATAACTCTAGATTACAGCATATAAAACACGAATCAAATACCAAGATAAAACGCCATCAATATTTAAAAATATGTACTCAATAAATATTAATTGTAGCTAGATTTTGTCATGTAGGAAACTGGCTTGAAAAAGGCATTATTTCTGTAACACTAAACCAAGGGGAGTAAAGATGACATTTATTTTATATTTCTCCACACATATGTGATTTAAGAGGAAAAAAGGATGTTTCTTTCTACTTTTGGTATTTTGGTACATTCTCCTTATTTACCAACATTTCAAAATGTACATTCTTTATCAATTGAATGTTGAAGGTACTGTGAAAGAGGGTTGTCCTCTAACCTGAGAGGTTTTATTTTCATCTTCTAAACAAGATCTGAAATAATTTTAATTAACATTTTAAAAAACTATTGGCCAACTACTATCTCTGGGTTCTTAATTTTAACTGTAGGTCTTCTCAAGATATCTTTACTACAACATATAATTAGTCATCAATTCTTCACCAATTTTTCTACATTCTTGAATGTGAAATGTTGAGGTATTAACGTTATAAAGGTTATTTTTCTTTTATATAAAAGTAAGTACAACATGATGTCCCCTCACTGGATCATACCGCGACAGAGGACAAAACTGGGGAGACACAGCAGATCAGCAACAGGAGCAGAGCAAAGCCACATAGACCATGAAGAGTGCCCAAAGAGACTTCAGCCTAGGTAGGGCAGCTCCTGGAATTCCCCCAGGACCAGTGGGGAGACAGTCATAAAGGTCAGCCGACAGACCTGGAATTATGGATGTGTGTGTATTCAATCTTTTGTTTTCGTTTTGCTCAATCTCTGTTAATGCATGGGAAGCAAGCCTGAGGAGAAAGCAATGGGACTGATAGTCCCAGAGGGTCTGGGGGAGGAGGTGGGGGAAGGGAGCAGTGAGCAGACAATGCCACAAACAGGAGAACAAGTAGGGAATTAAAATCAACAACAAGGGTATAGAGTTCCTGGCGGTGTTGGAGCAACAGCAATCTAGCTGAGAGGAATTACTAAGAGGCAGAAAGTAGGGTGAGTATGATGGTGGGGCAGGAGGAAGGTAAAGGAAACAGGAACAATCTAGGAAGCAAAGCTATGGATAGAGGTATAAGCATGGGTGTGCTCATATGGAAATACATGAGTTCATAAAAATAGAGGTACTGGCCTATGTACATATATTTATATGGTAATACACTGAGGTAATGGACATACTTCGGGCCTCTACTCATGCCCTCCTTCAATGCAAGAACACTTTGTTCTAACAACCTGGCATTCTGTGATGCTCACCCTCCTGGCACAATTGTTGAAGACAAAATGGGTGGACAAGCAAATGTGGTGAAGAAAGCAGATGGTGGCTGGCTATCAAAAGATATAGCCTCTGAGGTCTTAAAGGCTTGAAGTTAAACAAGTGGCCATCTAGCAGAGAAGCAACAATCTCACATCGAAGAAGCACATCAGTCTGTGCAATCATGAGGTGTTGCCAGGACCGAGACCCTAAACAAACAAACAAACAAACAAACAAATTGTTGAGAAAGGGGTGTCAGGACAGACGCAAATCCCATCTATTGACAATGGGATATCCCCTCACAGAGGGGTCACAGGGAAGGGATGAGTCAATCATGGTGCAGTAAAGCACTGATGAAACAATATTCCTCTGGTTCCTTGAGGAACCTTACCCTCCACTATCATGACCCCAGTATTGCCTTTCACTGGGCTAGACCAGAGCATGTGCCTAGGTCCAGCTAAGAGATTAGAGCCCACAACACACGGAATCCAGAACAGGAACGGGAGTAGAGGAGGAAGGGGGAATTGATCTTGATGACTGACACATAACCACACCCCCACCTAGGGGGATGAACAATAGAAATCATGGGGGAAGAGAGGCAGTGGTTAGTGTAAGATATGAAAATAATAATAATAATAATTCATAATTTATCAGGGGGTGAGAAGGATGGGGGTGGGGAGGGAGGGCAAAAAGAGTAGCTGATACCAAGGGCTCAACAGAAAGTAAATGTCTAGAAAATAATGATGGAAACATATGTACAAATATGTTTAATACAATTGATGTATGGACTGTTATAAGATCTTTAAGAACCCCCCCAAGAAAAAGATCTTTAAATTAAAAAAAAAAGAGTAAGCCCAAAAGTACCACTGTTGGGCTTCCAGTTCATCCTGCCCAATTTAAACACAGCATGTTTAAACAAGTTTCCCATGGATACATAAGGAATGTAGCTGGGTCTCACATGGCTCAGCATTTTCAATTTTTAGTGACAATTTTGGCCTCAGCAACTTTTTGGCTAGATAGGTGCCAAAAGAACTGTATGAAGATCATGTAACTCAAAGAGCTAATCTTTCCATTAGTTTTTTATGCAAAATGAAGCCGATGAAAGAACACTTTATAGAATGTATAATTTGGGAAGAAGCACTGCCAACATGCTGCAAACAAATTCCAATAAAAAACTGGTTTAGGAGGGGGTTGCTGGGCCAGTTAAATTCAAGACAGAAAGGTCAATTCAGAAAGTTATGGCAACTGTTTTTAGGATTCCGAAGGGCTAATCTTGGGCTAATCAACGAACGTCGGACTTTGTGCTTGTTTGAAGACAATGGAAAACTGCATTGGTGAGAAAAGGCTGGGAAAGCAATGGGGAGGAAATAATGCATCTGCTCCTTCTCTGAGTAACAATGGCTGTTCTCCACTAGTTTCACTGGGAAACCATATCTTATCTGACCTATCACCCTGATCAGCTCCTTCAGACTTCTGCCCCAAATCTGAAAGACTTTCAGAAACATGATTCAGGTTCCTCAAAAAAGCTACATTGCCAGTTTGATGTGGTATAAACTGAACAGTGCAGAATTCTTCAGGGAAAAGGTAGAGATGGAAACACACCTTTCGAACGCCACAGACCTCCAAAAAACAAACCCCACTCACTGCCCACTCACAGCAACCCCCAAGTGGACATTATGCTGATAAACACAAACTTCACATTCTGATATTGCGGTTTAATTGAGGTTCCTATAATTTAGTAGCTATATATTTTTTACTTACCCTTATATATGTCATAAGGATAGGCCAGAATTATTTCAAATTAATGGGGAGAAAACTGTTTTGGGATATTATCAAAACTAATTGTTTCAATAAATTACTAAAAGCATTAAGACTAAGCTTCAAACTCACTCCACAAAATTGTCTCTAGGAGCACAAAAGGATAAAGACAGGGAATATAAAAAACAAAGCATCTTTACCCTTCTGGGTGTTAAAAGCCACTGATTCTTTGTGATGGAATTCTTCAGAAGAGGGGAGCCATTGGTGAATGCTGGCTGGAAAATCCTGGAAGGGAGACTCCGGAGGCACACAAACCTTGCAGCCAGCATGGTGGTATCCTAGGTTTGCCAGGCAGATCTGAAATCCTAGCTAAAACAGACAAAACAAAACAAACAACCATTAAGGAAGAATCTGCCTCTTTCAAGCAAATGAAAAATGTCATTCATCCAGGAAGAAAAGAATGTTTGGAAACTGATTGTGGTAGCAATTGTACAATACTGCTTGACCTGATTGAACTATGGAATGATATGTCTTAACTACCGATTAACAAACAATAAACTTAAAAAAGAAAAATAGTCATTTAATGAAGAGGCCAACAATGCTTCAAAGTCACTAAAAAGAGTAAATTTCAGTAAAACATTCCAAATATCACTTCCCCTCAAGATAAAATATAAAAAATAATCGAGACAAATTAACTTGTGAGTTGCCAATTCCCACTCACAGTGACACTATAGGACAGAGAACTACCTCACAGTTGTTCCTAGGTTGTAATCTCAGAAAACAGACCATCAGAACTCTTATCTTCTGTCGTGACTGGTGGGTTAAAAACGCTGACCTTTCGGTTTAACCATTGAGTAACCATGGCTTTGCATAAGCCTTTCTATGCCCACATAAAACACATTTAATCTTTCAAAATAAGCTCCACTACCCCAGGTTCCACTCAAGCGAGGCTTTTTCAGTAGTGCTCCCCCAAAGAAAAACTGTTACAAAGTGGATTTTCTGCCTGAGGGCACAGATGGCCCTTCAACCTGAACCTGATAAACACCTTCCTGTAAAGCTAAGGTGATTAAGTAAGCAAGTGGGGTGTGTATGTGGGGAGAACAGAGGAATCTGGGCAGTAGGCTCATCTCGGCCATTAATTTGTGTGAACCATAGCCCAATGGATATAACAGTCTTCACCTGTTCAGATAGGTAAACTGGCCAGAACAGTACTCGGGCTAGTCTTGACCACTGAACTACTTGCTTTGCACATACTTGGGGTGCATCTTTCACACGCAGATTCCTGAGTCCTGATGGAATGGAGCCCACGAATATCTAACTAAAGGCCTAGCGGTGTAGTGGTTACCAGCGGGGATGCGATCCGCAGGGTCTGCATTTCAAAACCACCAGCAGCTGCGGGAGGAAGATTGGGCTTTCTTGTAAACAGTTACAGCCTCGGAACACACGGGTGGTCGCTGAGGCAGCAATGACTCCATGGGAGGGAAGGAGGGAGGGACCCTAAAGGCCAAGAACCTTGGCTTAAAATTAACAGACGGTCCTTCCAGCTCTGCCACTAGATCTATGAAGCATGTACAGACTGGGCACTTGCCCTCTGGGAAAACACCGTGCCCTTCGGGCACTTTCACTGCATTACATCATCTCAGCTCATGTCTGCACTGTGGCTCCGTCGGCCCTCCGTCACTGGCCCACTCAAGACTCGGATTCAGCCACAGGGCAGCACAGGGGGCACGTTTGGGTCCAGCCGCGGGCAGGCTGACAGCGGCCTTTGGCGGGAGCTGCACCTGGGGGGCGTCCCAGGTGTCTACACCACACGCAGGAAGGAAGCCTCACTGAGGCCCGTCCGAGCACCGAGCACCACGAGGCTGGGGGGTCTCCGGCCACAGCCCACGACGCCCGCAGCGAGCCTCACTTCTACT